ATGGTTTGATGCTACTCTGGTTAACAGATTTAATGAATGTAACCGAAGAAGTTAATATTCAGAGACCCAGCGTTCCGACACTCCTTCGGTTACATTCATTAAATCTGTATACCAGACTAACATCAAACGATGTCTGATTGTCCACCTGGTTGCCGTGTGAACTTTAATATATCTTCAAGACCACTTGTTAAAAACTGCCACATGTGATTTAACTTTACATAAACTTCATATCATATCAGCACAATAGCCCCCAGAAAATGACAGATACAAACCAAACATATCTACGAAGAAGGTGCTACCAGAGAAAAAGCAAGCCTTAATTATTACACAACGATACGCATAGAAGCTAGAAAACGGAATGAATAAAGGGGTAAGTTTCTAAAGAAACTGGGGTGCTGCGTCGGTGGGAGAGTATAGCAGGTAATTTAGTGTTAACAACTGAGTTGAAAACGTAAACTAGCCACCGTAAAGGGTAAAAAAGCTGACGTTTCGAGCGTTAGCCCTTCGTTCTGACGAAGGGCTAACGCTCGAAACGCCAGAAAACGGAATGGACAGCAAAAATGGACAGCAAGGGCGTAAAAGGACAAAAATGGGTTCCACTTGACACGGGTTTTGTTACATATGCGAAATATAAAGGAACTTTCAGTTTAAGTCTTCATTAAAGGAAACAAAAGAAGGAAGACCGTACACAGCTACGAGAGTAACTCTTTTGGCAGGCGGAAGGTTAGCAGCCAAAATAACACAAACGTCACCAATTCTCTTATCTGCTGAGAATGTGTAATTGTTCCTTACCTTTCCCAGTTTGTGTATTGATCACATAAATCGTTGTATCCAAGGAACCAGCCCAAACTTGGTTCTCTTCGACGGCTAACAGACAACTCTGCAATGAATGCAACCAGGAATGTTCGGTTTACAAATCAGTGGAATTTTACAAAATTTTATCTTTTACTTCGCTACCGAATCACTTGTTGGTCCCGAATCAAGTCTGGTGAACATCCCCACGAGGCTAAAAATAAGTCCCAATCGCAAGGGAATCCTCAGTGACTCAGTATGGGGCTTCCGCGCTATCTTTGGCTTAAACAATCAAGGGCCAGTACACCGCCTCCCCTCGCCCTATCCTTTAAAAAGGGCTTTTGCACGACAATAAATTTTTATGAACAACTTTGTGTTCAAGGATTTGACCCCAGTCGAGACATTTCATTGCGTTGCCCAAGGTCAGACCACGTTACCTGGCTAGCAATTTTTCAAACCGGGCCGAACCCACAATCCGGGTTACCTTCCGCCCTTTCACTCGTATGTACCCATAATTCGTTGTTCACTTACCACCCTATCCTTCGCATGTTTCATGTGCGTCTCATGCTCCCACTCTTTTGTATCTATCACGACAACAACACCAGAGCCCTGACAAACAAGATGAATCAACATATATGTGGGTCATGATGAAGATTGAAATTTGACGGCTTAAACAAGGAAAAATCGCATGAGTGATCGAGACACAATTTCTCCCTACAATACTACTACCATGTCAAGTAGACAAACGATGAAAATAAATAAAAATATCTCTAAGGGGATTATTAATTGATCCGATATCAAATTCTCCGAACTAACATCACAAGAATTGTATGGAAGACAGCAAGGAGGATTACAAATGAGATCTTAAGGAGGCGCCTCTAGCCTGAAGGATCAGAAGTTGTGTGCTGAAAACATTATTTTTATTGCAACGTTTACGTCCAAAAAATACTGTTACTCACCATGGCGCACCAGACCTTTGGTTCTCTACCTTTCGCTAAAAAGAAGAGAATAAGGAATACAACGTTTGTACGGAGTTCCATTTGGCAAAGTAACACACGAAATTTGTTTTGTTTCATTCTTTGAGAAGGGTGTGGAAGTGTTTGGTGTAGAGAGCAAGGGCTTCACACAATGTGCACACCATGCATCTTTAAAGGAAAAACATTTACAACTTACAGCCTCGCACATAAAGCAAAGCCTCCACTGTTGGTTTCTCAATGTCCTGAGGTGAGGGGCTCACTCTCTTGTAAAGCGCCTTAAATAAGTAAAAAGTTTTAAAAATAGTAAATATGAAACGCATCGAAAAGGTGGCAGCGGCTGGTTCCTCGTCCGCTGTCTTCAGGTCAGATCATTTTCGTGGAGGATGGACAACCCGAGAACCTGGAGGAAACCCGGGATCAAGGACGAAGACCAATAACAAACTCAACCCACACGTGACACGGCAGATCGGGTCCAAGAATTGAGAATTGAAGCGGTTTCCCAGTTTTAACTGCGCCAGAGGATTCAAAAACTAACTCCGTAACGCCACTGCACCCTCAATCCTCGCATATCGTTTGAACAATGGTGAGAGATTCTCAAGTTTATCCTCATTATCCCGAAGACAAAGAGATGGTCAAAGAGGCCCTCTCGAGCGCATTGAGGTTGGTTGCATTTCACCGTTTTGAAATCGTCTTACCTTTTCAGTTGCCTCGGTCAATTTATCTATGTGATAGCCCTGCGTGCTAAAGTAGAGAACTTGCTACAAAGAAAGCAAAGATGTCAAGAAGAACAGTAGTATCTTCAGATCTTCACTTCAATTAAAACTTTTAAAAGAGATTACTTAGAGATATTCAAAATCCTTTCCTAAGAAACAAGAACAACAATGCCCAAGAAAAAGAAAGAAGATGAATACGTTTGAGGGCAAGTGACTTCATTTCCCTTCTCGTTTTGCTGTTACGGAAGGTATTAAGGGGAATGTTTCCTTTTAAAGCATGCTTAAATTAAACTTTTAATCGAGCCTCCAGAGGAACAAGTAACTCGTTTGTGCAGCGGAAGTAGGCATCTGTAACGCATGAGACATTTACGTCGATAAAGACGGTCAGTAATTCAGAGAAGACACTCAGAGTGGTTTGAGAGACTCAAGTCGTAACAAAATAGCGATGGTAAATAAGTTACAGCAATTTGGCCAACTAAACAAGAAATTGAGCGGAGAAAGGAGGTAAGAGTGGAGAGTGGTGCCTCCACTACGCTGCTCAGGGGATTCGACACCTTTGCTTAAGTTTGTAAACAGTCAACTGTGATATGAAAAGTTGAGACGTTCACAACTCACGAAAGCTTTTTAATACTAGATCACAATTTCTGTCGGTTTCCCGGCGAATTAATCCACACGGTATGTTAGCTGTGCATTTACTAGTACGATGAAAGGTGGGTTTTAGACGAACCAAAGCCCATTTAATAAACGAGTTAGTTTACAGTAAACAATGACTGACAAAAAATTACTTCATGCGATATACATCAAATAAACAAAGAAACAGCTCTTTTATGAATGTAACCGAAGAAGTTACAATTCATAGACCCAACGTTTCGACACTCCTGTCTAGTGCCTTCATCAGGGGTGATCTAAACGCTGCAACAAGAGGTCCTTTTATATGATCACTAATTAGCGGCCTTTTTTCTGACGAGGTGTAAATAGGCGTCAGGAAGCAGACCGCCATCGTCACGATTTAAAGGAGCGTGGGCGGAGTTAATGTGCCAAGCCTCCAAACAAAGGCGCTGGTGGTAACGCCGATTAGTAGTGATAATTTTAGAATTATCCCACCCAATTGTATGGTTGGTTAGGCAAGTATGCTCCGATAAAGCTGAATTTTCCTTTTTGCAAAGAAAAACCGCTTTTTGGTGCTCTTTTAACCGTGTACCAAACTGGCGTTTGGTCTGTCCGATGTATTCGTTATCACAGTCATTGCAAGGAATAGAATAAATGGCGTCGGTTCGTTGTTCTTTCGTGACAGGATCCTTAGGTTTGGCGAAAATATGCCCCAAAGTCTGAAAAGGTTTTTGAGCAACTTTAACGTTGTGGCTATTCAAAATTCTCTTGATGGGTTCAGTAACACCCTGTATGTAAGGAATAACAGCAAAACCAGTCGCTGGTTCCCTTTCATCAAGAGCGTTACTATTTGTAACTGGTTTTTGGCAGTTACGGAGAAAAGTTTTTGTATAGCCATTTGCCTTTAGGACATTGGAAACATATTTCCTCTCCTCAGCCTTCGAATCGAGTGATGATGGTAGACAAACAGATGATTTAGATCACCCCTGATGAAGGCACTAGACAGGAGTGTCGAAACGTTGGGTCTATGAATTGTAACTTCTTCGGTTACATTCATTAAATCTGCAAACCAGTGTAGCTTCAAACTATGTCTGATTGTCCACCTGGTTGCCGTGTGAACTTTAATATAGCTCTTTTATATTAAATTTTAAATTGTCCAAGTACATAAGAACGTAAATGAAAATGTTATGCAGGGTTCCAATCATCTTACCATTGCAACTTGGTCCGGGTAGTCACTGTTAAAGAAAAAATAAAAGAGAAGAAATTCAAACATGACTGCAAGCTTCAAAGAACGCTCATCTAAAGTGATAAACCCAAAAAGGTGCAATGGGGACTTCACTTTTCGGAAAGAGCTCAGAGAGCTGGCACCGGTTGCTCCAAAGTTTTATAACGTTATCCACTGTATAAAACTCTATCCGTTTTGCAATCACTTGTCTGCCGGATAGCGATTTATCCGTTGAATAGCGTTATCCGCCCTTGATGTAACTGAGATTTGGCCAAAATTTACGACGACATAGATTGAAATTTTCGTGCTTACCTTTGTCTGAGAGAATCCGCCATGATGACGTTTTGAGCCGCTTGCTTTACGATTTCCTTGTCCTTGTAAACTTCAAACAAAGAAAAACATGACCGCTTTGAGAAATTTTCGATCGACTGAAGATTTTATTTTCTTTGTCTCGAACATGGGAAAAAGACAAAAGAAATAGTCCGAGTCTCCCGCAAAGGATCAATCCCCCCTAACCCGCAAGATTTGGCGATCTGATGCTATACCACTGAGCAACGGAGATCTCCATAATGAAGTATATAATCAAGGATAGTCCTCTTTACATCCCCACCCCTCTCCTTATTTTTGGCCGACAACCGCCCCCTTGATATATATTTCATTCTCTCCCCAGCCCTACGCTGCCATTAAAATCAAAGATGGCGGCTATAATTTTCGTTAAGAAAATACTGAGGACTCACCCGCCAAAATTACCCTGCTCTGCAGGCTAGGATAATAGTGCTTTTGCTTTACTGTGAAAACTTTCAACCAATCAGACATAAAATCAACTGCAACTTAGCCACTCGCGTTTTCCCGCACTTTAAGCCATTTCGCTGGGTTTTCTTTGAGTTTGTATGAGCTCTCTGCGATATTCATCATGAGAGTATTTAACTTTTTTTCCTTCTACGCCCAAGATCAAAATCAAATAGATCAGCATTTTTTCCTTTCAAGAGTTTTGTTGTTTTTATAAGCTACGGAGCCATTTCTCGCGCAAACAAAACTGTTGCCCCCCAAAATAAGTAGAAACAATTTAATAATTAAAACGTATTTCGTGCGTTAATATATCAGATAGTGTTAACTAACATGGCTGAAGACAGAACGCAAGTTAATTCAGTCTGCTTACCATCAGAAATGTTGTATCCCGCTTTCATTTCCAGCAAACAGCTTCGCCAGAAATCCTTCTCTTCCTTCACAAATGCTATGAAAGACACTGGATCACTTTCTATAAGGGAATAGAGGACAAAAGGTAGGAGCTTGTCAATGTGCTGCTCGTTATAAAGATGTTAGCTTTTTTAAAAGTGAGATTTAATGCACTTTAGTGTGTGCATCGCGACAAATTTATCCCACCCTTCACGCGTTTCCTGATTGATGTTCTTCTCAATACTCTTTATCCATAGCAATCTTTGTTCCTAATTGAGTCGTCATTACCTCTTCATCCTTTTCGTATTTTGTAGTTTGTGGTCTCTTTAAATTGAAGCAAGTTCATCACGTCACCTAAAAATATTCGAAATAGCGCAACGATTCTTTTCAGCCTAGGAAGCAGGCGATCGGCAGGAAATCAAGGAACACGCGTGCGAGAGAAAGAAAAAACGCCCAAGAATTCTCGCTCGTGCGAGCTAGGGTTAAACACTCGCGTTCCATTGGCACTTACACTACAGGCTGATTCTCGAGCAATACACGGGAAATATAGGTCATTCTCAAGCTCACTTTCTTCAATATAATTAATCATATTAAAAGCATCAGTCTATACTTCGAGACTGATAAATGTAAAAGAAATCAAATCCAAGGTTGACTAAAAAATCGATTTGAAAAAAAAAAACCCACAAGAATTAAATGTATTAGCGAATCACACGTCAACCGGCTTCAATCATTACATTTTTAATCCGCTGCTTCCTACCGTTCATATCTCACAGACCTTATCAGACTTTTCACATAACTTAAAAGATCTCTCTATATCTGACTTACCAGTGCTGGTTATTCGGATAGCTGTATCTCCACCTAACAACACCCCCCCGGAGTGCGGCTCCACATTCTTTATTTCGTCATTTCTTACAACAGATATACAATGCTGAGTTCCATCCGGCAGGAACAACAATCTGAAGCGAAAAAGAACTTGAGGCTAAAGTACTAGGCACATGAGTCTCCTCCAGATCACACTTCTTAAGCACGAGAACACAATACTTACTTTTTTAAATGTGCAATAGAATTTCACGAGAGAACACTGACCTGTCGACTGTGAGAACAAGCCAACCCATGCCCTTATTTGTCTTGATATGCTTTGAAATCTTTAGTACAAACTGCAGAGAAAAATTAACATGTAACCAGGTACTTGGGAGAAAACAAAGAAGCGTTGATGCCAAATAGTGTCGGAGAGAGGTCTGGCTTCGAGAATTGGCCTCGTGCTCGTCCTCGGGTTGTTTATTTAATTCTCACAGAGCCTCCTCAACCCAGGAGTATAAAGGGGTGCTAACAAACTACCAGGGAAGCTTGACTAGATACTTGGGAGGGGAGTTAACCTCCAATACACTAACATCCCATGGAGGATTGGGAAAGACAATGCTTCTAGCTGCTTCATGGTTAAGAAACTGAGATGAGTTCCGGGTAGCTATGCAATTTACTTCGCAGACGTCAACGATGTTGACGCAATGGACAAATAAAGCGAAAAATCTGTCGAACATTAAATAAAATCAAAAGCAAAACAAATGTGAATTCAGTAGGAACATCACCTCGTTGCGTTCCAAAACAATATTACGTAATGAAACACTCTTGGCCATCATGCTAGCCTGTTAATAAAAAATGCGAAAACGAGATTAACGAACGAATGAAAGGAGTACCAAAAAAATAAACGTTTTAGTCAGAAGGAGTAAAATAATGTCGGATGACCACCAGTTGGAGAAAACAGTCAGGTGATGGCAACAAAGGACAAAGAAAAAAAAATAATAACGGCGAAGCGATATGGATGTTCATCACATCTGCAGTATTTAGATACCTGGGATAAAGCATCATAAAATGCGGCAAACGTGTCTGGATCGATCACTGCAATGAAAGAACAGAACACATTTTCACATCTTCGTCTAACGTTTAAAATCGAAAAAATTTCATAACTAAAAAAATGATTCTTTTTTTCGGTCTGGTTTCGATAGGAATTCAAACAACCCTCTTTACCGTTTGTTGTTGAATTATTCGCCAATGCTTGGAATAGTCTTCGTCCAGCATCTTCACCGTTCGCTATCTGTAACATGCTTACATGTTTCACGAATTCTTTAAAAGCTGATGAAAACAAGAAAACAATAATGCAAAAAATAGTTTGAGTGCCAAAGTAATGTTTCTTTAAGTCTCTGTTCAAATCAGAGTCCTCACAGCTTATCGGGGTAAGAATGTTTCCACGCTTCGCGCTTCTTTGGCAAAAATTATTGATATTTAAAAAAAAAAAGGCAATAGAAAATAAAGAAAGGGAGTGTCACATAGAGAGTGTCCGAATCTCTTCTTCCAACTTTTTATTGGCAGTGTTAACGTAAGGATTATTTTGAAAGAAATTTTTCCCCCATGCAGACACAAATGAGACATACCTAAAGGATTTGAAGGAATTGCTGAAGTAACCACCTCTTTTCTAATAAGAAACATCAGACAGTGTATCATCAATCGCGTTTTGCGTTTACAAAGTCAACGTCGGTTACGTTTTCCTTATATCATGCTCATGTAATACAAAGTTTGTACGTGCGTGAAACTTCTGGTGAATTATATTTCTTTTGTTATCTAATTAATTTTTTTAAATTTGTATTTTTACTTTGTATTATCTGTTGCGCATTTGTGTATGTGGTTACATATGCGTATACATGTGCAAATGAGTGTTTAAGCGTATGCCTGTGCGTATGTATTAACGTATATGTGTGCATATGTTTATGTATGGTTGTATGCGCGTGTATATGCGCATGCGTTTGCATAAGTGTATGCGTGTGAGTTTGCGAGTTCGCGGCAAATGCGTATACATATGCCCTGTACATGTGCCTGTGCATATACATTGCGCATGCATAGGCGTAACGTGTTCGTGCCAAGGCGTACACGTTGTTCGTTTTCGGATCATTGTTACTGCTGTGAAATATGTGCGTTTTGTTAAACTGCTAAGGCTGTAAGTTTCAAAAACAGTAACTGTATCATTTACCTTGCCCTTCTGTAATTCCACTTTTCCTAAAAGAAAACAATACAAAAATTTTAAAAGAAGTAGATATAAGGCGGCCCGGCTTTCGTCATACTCGTAATAACTAAAAATAAGGTGTACATGTCGAGGGAGTCGCGAACTTCGCTCTCCGTGCCGGATCAGCAAGGTGCTCTTCTAAATGTACTTCCACGTAACATTAGTTTCACTTCTACAAAGCAAACAAGTAGTGTTTACTCTGCTCAGTTTTTCTTGTTGTTTTCTCGTCTGTTTGTTTATGGAACTCCGCTATTAGGATTAAACTGCATTAACCTCTTTTTTCCGAGGAGTAATCAGTATAGAGAATCCCTTGATATTTTTATCAATGTTCTATGCCACCAGATAACGGGAATGAAGAAAATTATCAATTAGTGAATGCGTGTGATTTCGCGGGTAGACCGAGAAATTCTCAGGAACGGCCAGCAAAGAAATAAATGGTACTAAAATGGCAAACCGACTTTCAGATGACCAAGTAAAACAGTTTATCGCATTAAACCTTGGCGTTAACCCTGAGACGCTCTGCTTTCCTCCAGAAATGTCTTGTTCTTAACTCCTCTACTTCTAAATCGCTCAGTTTACACATGATCTCCTTCACGGTCCTAAAACCAAAGATAAAAAAGCAACTTTGCCTTTGTAAGTTACTTTGGTCCATGATCAAATTTTAAGTATTTATTCCTATCTTTTTCTTTTTATAATTTGTAATTCACGCTGTGTAAAAATATCAACTAATCCTGTCCAAATCAAATTTAAAATTTGACTTTCAAAAATCTGAAATATGATTTAACGCACCTCCTTTTCTACTCCCTGAGAGAGGATTTTGTTTTACGACAGCAAGCCAAAGCGAAAATATTGTGGGAATAAACGTGTCTCTTTCATTCATCTATTAAACTGCAATGAATCCTTCACTAGCCCAGTCTGGAAGTAAGTTTCATCCTTGAAAAGCACGTCTGCAATTTTTTTCAGCAGTTTCTGATTGAATTTCAATTTAAAAGCTCCTCGTATTGCTACTTACGAGGTTGGGAAGAGCTGCGCACTTGTCGATGAAACTCCAAAGAAGTCGTCCACGGCCTGTGGAGTAATACAGACTAATAACAACAAGTCTGTCAACAGTTCTTCCACAAAGGACAGGGCGTAAAATGAAATAAAGTTCCAACATGTTTCTATCTTCACCACCTCTACTTGAACGCCATATTCTTTGGACATACTTGGTTATGAAACTGCCGAAAACAGCGCGCTCGTATGAATCTTTATTCTGACTTTGGCGTAACTTCACGTTCAGTTTAAAATGTCTCCTCCATTTGCACATGCACACCATCGTTATGTGTTTCGAGCTTGCATCTTTTATACAGACTATTTTTGAAGGTATAGTTACTAACTCGCTTCACGAAACCTTGTTTCAATTTGCATCTTTCAATGAATGCAAGTAAGAACATAAAACAAGGCCGCGATGGAAGTCCGCACCACATGTTAATTACCAGCTGGGAATTTCACATCTGGTGAATTGTGTCGGAGATTTAGCGCTCGAAAACCAAATGAACATGAATTTTCAAGGGAAAAAATAAGAAGTTACATTCCTACCTTGGTTTTTTCTCCACGAGCAATTCGTAACATCCCACGCAAGTACAAGTGGTTAGCTAGAAGACCTGAAGACTTATTCGTAGGATCCTGTGTAAAGGAAGACAAAACACTTCTGTTAGAACTGAGGAGGAGAAAAAGTATTTTTCTTCAACGATAGCGTAGTTCTTTACGTTAAGCATACAGAATTATGAAACCGAAGGTAGTCATAAGGTGAAGTCTCCACATGATTCGAATAGTGCGAGAAAAAGTGTATTTACAGTGATCTTGTAATTCAACGTCCTCAAGTAATCTTCGTAGAAAAGACCTACGGGAAAAGAAAACATTTCACCACGTAAGGACAACATATGAAAACATTTCCAAGAAGTAAGATATATCATACTAATGTCTGTAAGACTGCAAGTGAAACACAGAAATATTTCGCCATAGTCACTAGTATGAAAGAGAATTCACAAAAACCCGTCTGAACGGTTTAGATTTTAAATAATAATAAAAAAGTTACCACAACTAATGTACGTTCATGAAAAACTGTAAAATACTTTTTTCCATATAAGAGCGTATGAGCATCTCTTACCTGTGTGGATGCCTCCGCGGACGAAAGGAGGAAGAGCAAATATGCTTAGTTCCTCATGTGCATCGGCAAAACACTCTTCAGGTATAACAGGGACAGTCAATGCAGATGAACTTCTTTTCCTCAGAGGACCTGTCCTAAGAAAGGTAAAACTATTTCATCACACAAGAAGAGTAGTTTGAGACCTTTCGCTCCCAAGATCTTATTATAAATTCTCCTTACTATCTGCCATACAATTCTTATGATATAGTTTGGAGAATTTGGTATTTGATCAACTAATTGTTCCCTTACTGATAGTGTTGTCTTTGTTCTCCTCACTCGTCTGATTAATATGATAATGATATTAAACGACTTTGAATATATGAAAGTCATATATTTGGAACCAACATAATGGCCAGCTCCCAGTTGGCTTGTTGGCTCAGTTGGTAGAGCGCTGCACCGGTATCACAGAGGTCATGCGTTCAAATCCCGCAGAGGCTTGAATTTTTTCCAGGCCTTCTTTTCACTACTGCTCAAGTAGTGTTCGTTACTGCGAGGATCGCTTTCATAATCATGGTGATGATATTGTAAGGATAAATAATGTCTATGAATGAGATAGTCACAAGCATGTGCTCAACATTTCGGTTAATAGTTTTGAGGAGCCCAAATCGTCCATCCAAGATCCCTGCCGAACCGGATCCTATGTAACCCCAGATTTAGGCTAGTCAGAGATGTATTTTTAAGTTCGGTCTTGATATTGATAAACATTGCATGACGACTTACTTTGGAACAACCCTGGTTTTCTGAGCCATGAGTGTAAAGTAGTCTGCCTTTTCTGAGTTGTGAATCAGGTCGTAAAGAAACATGCTAAATGCTTGACTCTTGCACACCTAGAAAAAAATCATCGTAAGCAACTGTGTATTAGATACGGATCTTACAAATCTTTATTGTAGAACCTAGCCGAGAAACACTTCAATTGATTGGTTTCGTTCCTACCTCCATAAGAATCCATTTTCCACATATTTTTTGACTTATCATTAACCCTTTTGGAACCGAAAAACAGGACAACCCAAACATAACAATTACCATCACTTGATTTTGTTAAGATTATCAAGGTGTTCATGAAAATGTAAAAATCTTTTCATTTCCTGATTCTAAACACGAATAATCTTTCACGCTCTCTATGATGTAGAACAATTGCCATCTAAGTGTTTGTCATTCGAGGTGTTGTTTAATTATGCACTCGGTTGGAAAAATACACCTGCCCTTAAGAAACATTTCACTTACATATTTCACAGCCAAGATCACGGCCATTTAAGTTTAAGAATGTCTCTCTCACCTCCCGAAAGAAATCTTGGTTTTCTGCAGGCTTTGACTCAATGTAAGTATCCATATCAAAGAAAAGCTTTGGAGAGACGAGTAAAATGTCTTTTAAAAAAGTGTATCGAATATTCACTATTTACTAATACCGCAATCGTTTTACACTTTCACATTGTTGGGCAGTTTTTTTGCGTGTGTAATAGTTTCACAAAGCAGCGTGCCCTGAATTTCCAAAAGCTCAAATAAGACGCTCAGCCATTTGCCAACTACAAATTGCAAGTAATACATCCAAACAAATACTTCACGGCATTACTTAAGCTCAAACATCTTTCTACTGTTTGCGCCGGACAACGTGCAATAATAAACATAATTAACAACAATATTATCTTACATCTTCTTGCTGTACGATAAAATTCTTAATGTCACTGCAAATAAGAAAAAAAATTTTTTAAAAAATACAACAAGAAATACATTGAAATACAACAGTATTTAGGATGGTTACTGTCTGCAGTCCAACTGAAAGCATCCGATCTACATTACTTACCGATGCATTCGAAAACTCGAAATAGAACAACTGAATTCCTCAGTGTATGCCTCCGAGATTTTAATTGAGAGTTAGTCCATTATCTGCTAGAAAATAATTTATTTCTTTTTCTCGAAGGATATGATTATTTGTGAGGCTATACTTTTTCTCTAAAATATATATTTTAGCTTCTTATTGTCCTTTTAAAGATTTTTAAAGAAACAAGTTCTAGAAAAAACGCACCTGAACATTCTCAACATCATCTCCAAATTGGCTAGAGAAGAAAAATAATATTTGGTTATTCAAAATACAAAGTATAAAATCTAATTTTAGATTTAATATGCGACGTGGACATTACTGATATTCATGAGGGTGTCTGCGAAAGATAAGTTTCACTGCATATGACAAGTCTACTAAATTCCATAGTACTAAAATTATCATGTACTCATGGCAATCAATAAATTTTGGCCTTTCTACCAAGCTTTTAAAAAATGTGTGATTTTGTCGCAGAAATGCTTCAAAGTCACTGCATCAAAGGCCATAGTGTAACTCACATGCTAAAACAAGCCGTTGGAAATCTCTTATGAACTTATCTCTGCAGTTGTTCCATTCTTGCAAAGAGTAGAATGTTTGTCTGCAAATGCGTAAAATGTATTTTTAAGAAAACTGTCTCTAAGAAAATGTATCCAAATTCAAACTGAGAGGTAACGGTTGTCAGTCATTAAACAAAGTATTCTTGTAAACATTAACAATAAAAAACTATAAAGAGACTAAATTCGTGGTACAGTACCTTTGAACAAGAAGACGGTCAAAGTGGATAACTGCGTTTTTCATCCTAAACAAAAGCGTAATCAGTTATTCATTAAAAATATCTCATCTTGAAATTTGCGAAAGGAAGGTTCACTCTACCCTTAAAGCGCTGTCTAACACAGAAAAAGCAGAACTTAGAGCGGAATCAAAATCCTTAAACGGTTTGGTTTACCCTCGTTAAAGCAAAAGAAAGATGCGTAGTTTTCTACTGTTTGATTCCTTTGAAATGACTCACAAAAATGTCAGTTTAAGAGGCGAAATTTATACGGTGAATGTCTTCAATATAACTAAGAACAGGTCGATACCTAAATTTGTACAATTCTGCAGCATAGGTTGGCAATCGCTGAATTCTGGGAGGGCTGGTCACTGAACCCTCGTCGATATCAGCAATTACAAAGCTGGACAACTGAGAAAAAAAAACGCAAAATAAATTCCCTTCATAAACAAATAATCGAAAATTGTTACTGTGCATATCATGAAGGGGGTTAAGGTTCTAAAGAAACTGTGGTGCTGCTTCGGTGGGAGAGTATAACAGGGTAATAAAGTATTATTAACTGAATTGATGACGTAATTTGGTCACCGTAAGGAGTTTAAAAGCTGACGTTTCGAGCGTTAGCCTTCGTCAGAGTCGATTTATGGCATATCATGAAGTGCTTCGCAGTGCAAATTGATTGGGTAAAGAAAAACAACCACAATCTGGAAGGTGGGTTTATGGGGATGTTGGACAAGGTAGAAATCTGGTAAAGAAAAAAAAGATGAGTTTAGACAGGGCGGGATAAATTGCATGTAGATTGTCTGTGGCCACTGTTTACAACTATAGCTACTAGAGGGTATAACAGTTATTTATACCTCATCCATCCCCTCGACAACCCGTAGTATCTTGCTCTTATGTTCTTTATGACATCCCATAATAAATGCACCAGGCGCCTCTACTAAATCTATGAGTGCACTGCAGAAGTATCAAATACACGAGTCATTTCTATTCTCCAAGTATTTCTATATATTTGATAAACTGATAATAATGTTAGTGATGATGCTTTTTGGCACCTTTGTATATAATGCTAGACACAATAATAATAAAAGAATCAAAAGTCAAATAAAAAAGCAAGAGTAACATAAAATATTTCTTCAGCCAATATTCATAAAATTGTATCCCCATTCTATCGACATGACCTCGTTAGTCATAACATGCGCCTTCTGTAAGAAATGCATATGTGCGACATGTCCACAGTTTTGTATGTCAGTAACAGGGTGCTGTGCTCGATTTTGAGAGATAATAGTTCGACACAATAAATATTCCTAGACAATAAATTCAAAACATCTCGCAGATGCCACCTCGAAAAATTCAGTTATTTGACGCTGTACATGGAATTGAGTCAAGAGAGATGTGAAATGAGTTCGATTTAAGGGCAGTTATTTACATGCAGAAAGAAAGAAATTGGGAAACAGTCTTAGATAGGGGCCTTTATTATAGAAATTGTTCTGCAAAGCACACCCAGATTCTTATCAGTCTCATAAACAAAGTGTTGATGCAGTGGCTGGGCAATCAACATCGATACAATAAGATGAATCACCTACCTTGGAAGGATTGGTACGTATGTCCAACTCCATGAAAAAGGTTGGATAAACGTGAATAAACTCTGCAAATAAAAAAGGATAGTTTACATTTGAAAGTAGTGTCGAGAATATCTGTTCTAACGAGAATATAACTGTTGTTTTTATTTTTTTTTCAAAAGCGTAAGTAAAGGGAGGCGGTTTCCTCGGCAACAGTTAAGGAAAGATTCCAAAGTTATTTCTGTGACAAGATTAGATGGAGTTAAAATTATTTTGGGAATGGTGTGGCTAAGAAAGAAAAGTCGAGGTCCTAAGGTGGAATTTCTGAAGAAAATAAAAAACACATGATTCGTCTAGGTTTTAAGAAATTCAGTGGGGTTAAGTCATTCACGACCTTAAGCTTGAATCCCGCATTCGCACGGTAAATCCTCCCACTAATTATCAATTTTCAAAAGCTTGAAACAAACCTCAATCACTGGAGTAAGCAGTGAATACGACGACGAGAGAAAAATAATCCGTTGTTGAGTCAAAATGCAGCTCATTAGGAGAAGAATGTCATCCAACGAGAAATAAAGGAACGGATAATGAAGTTCCATGTTGACAACTCGAGTTTCTGTGACATGATAGAGGATTAGGAATATTTAGCGAAGGAAGCTTGGACATCCAAACAGGTACTCAAAGAAATCATGAACACAGATTGGATTTGCATTTTTTTGATGTTGTCGTTGTTAACGGAACGATGATTAGACGTTGCTGAAGTAGCTGATTGAATTAATTCTCTATTCACCTGGAGTTTCAGCAGGTCGCAAAAGATGTTTAACACCAAGGAGCTCGAATTCCTGCAAGCAAAAGGAAATGATGATTCGAATTAATCAATCAATCAATCAATCCATCAAACAGTCAGTCAGACAGTCAATCAGTGATTGAGTCAGTCAGCTACTCAGTCAGACAGTACATGTAAGTCAGTCAGTCGGTCATTCGTCAGTCAGTTGGTCAGTCAATCAGTCAACTAGTCAGTCACTCAGTTACCCGATCAGTCGGCCAGTTAATCGGTCAGTTAATCAGCCAGTCGGTCCATACCTTTTTTCAGTCTATGAGTAACACAGTTCGTCAGTTTACCTGCAAGTCACTTGATAAATCACTTTAAAAACCCAAATGTGTAGGTTACTTACTATTCCAAGAGAACCTGGTGGAGGGACTGGTACCATGGCAAGCTGTGACACAAACTGCATTAAAGCTGTTCTGAAAAGTGCTGGATCACTTTTCATCACTTGTGGTAACAAACTGTGAGTCACAGAATTGGTAGAGATGAAAGCATAAATCGTGTTGGTACGCAACTTTTTTCCCGGAAAAATGTTACAATCAATTAAATATTTTCGCTGGCACGCTCTCGGTCTAGGCAAGTCAGAACACCAACTATGCCGCAGCTAGAAATGGGGAACATTTCATATTATTTAAAATTCCCCATAAGATATTTCTCAATTCTGAAACCTTATGTTCAGTCATCTGAGGGAACGCTGAAAAGTCCACACCCCCTGCAGTTAAAGTTTTAGACGCTAAGTTGTAAGTAAAGTTTTCGTCCCCCTAGCAATAAAGATACTTATCCGATAAAGACCACAAAAGCATCAATATATGACGTGAAAATGTGCTCGCTTTTTTCCTTGGGAATTATCAGCTCAAGGCATACTTCCAAACAAAACGGAAGCCATCGCTCATATAGCCATTGCAAATTTTGATTTTTGGGTATAATGTGTATCAGCTGATATTTGAAGATAAAATTAAATTGAGTTAACACTTTAACTCCCAAGATCTGATTGTTAATTCTCTCCTCTGGCTACTGCACATTTCCTTATAAGTTATTTACGAGAATTTGGAGTTAGATCAAGATGACAACTTCCACCCGATAAGTTTGAGTATTCTCATTACCAGCTTGCTAGATAATGTATGGATATTATTGGGAGAAGTTGTATGTTGATCACCTCTGAGGGTTTAAGGGTTAAGAAGAAGGTGAGTTGACCGATGATGAAGGCAAGTTAAAAGTAGGTCAGTTTACTTGTGGGCCACTTTATCAATGCTAACATCCATTTTCTGTTGTTTTTTTGTTATTGTTGTTGTTTTTTTGCCAAAGATGTAATCATAGCAAAGTCATATCTCTGCTATCCATCTGTCTATAGTAAAACTAGTTTAATTTTAGAAGAACAGAAATTTTGTTACATGTTGATGCTGTGGATGGTTTCACATCTCACCTAGACAAACAGTCTTTCATTATGTTGAAATAAGGCCATTTAGAAATCAAACAGCAACATGTTGGTACATAAAACAACTGATAAGAAGAGCCTGGAACAACTGCAAAATAAACAAACACAAGAACTACATGTATTTGTGTTTTACATTTTTCAATCTCAAAGAAATACAGAAAAATCAATTAGCAGCTAACAAACAAGTCAAAAGGCTCCAAGCTCATGGCTCTAACTTGAACAAATAACTAACATTTATAGTTCGAAAATGAGCTTCAAAACTGAAAGGAGTCTCTGAGGTCCAGTATTATTAGAGAATTTCCAGGGAAAAATTATTATCAAAAACAAACAAGTCAAGTTTGACTGGATTTTTTTTCTATGGCTTTTCTTGTGTAATTTCAAGAACTTATGCTGAATGCTTTTTAGTTGGGAAGTGGCTGTTATGGTCTACCAGATCCTGTTTGTTTGATAATTTTTCTTAATAGAGGTTTATCAGCAATCCCTACTGCCACCAACAATTTTCTACAACTGCATTAACCTTTAAGTATCAGTTAACTGAATATTTGACATCTTTTTAACTTTGGATGCCAAGATGAAAGTGAAATACCTTGTCCATCAGTTTTTTCCTCTGCATAAAACAACTTGTAATTGCCTGGTACATCTTTGTCCTAAATACGTTTATTGAAGAGATGATTATTGAAAATGTTAAATTGAAAAGAACTACTTTTAAAAATTTACTTCTGTTAACTAAGTCACCCCTATTAGGTGTGTGTTACACAGTAACCCTTTAACTGTGATGATCTGATTGTTAACTCTCCCCCTCAAGCTGACAACCATTTCCTTGTATGTTAGTTTGAAGAATTTGCTGTTGGATAAAGTTTGAGTATTCTCTTGGCCTGTTTGGTGGACGATGCATGAATATTGTACGGAGAAGTTACATTGTTAATAACTTGTGGGATTTTAAGGTTAAGCTTAGGATTTAGACAAATTTTAGGCATGTCTAATGTACTGTTCATTTTTTTTGTTTTGTTTTGTTTTTTTTTCACCCTTAAATGTTACAAAGGTGAGAGATTTTGGATTTAAAAAAATTTTTTATATCTCCTTTGCTGATGCTGAATTTGACTTAATTGCACTCCTTTTAGATGGATGTGATATTTGTGACAAAGCTCAAACAAAATTTTTGCATTCCAATTCTTCTTTGTTTCTTATTGGTTGAAGCTGTTTTCCCTAAGATTGGAAAACCCAGTGTGCTTATAACTCAAAATATTGAATTTTTGAAAATCCCTGTATTGGTCCAATCTTGAAATGTTTCAATGTGAATGCTTACCTCCTCTATGAGAAACCCTCTGTAGAATGTCATGCAGGAACAATATGTTCGGTTACCTGGAGAGAGTATAAGAGTAAACATTTTTCAGGTTTAAAAGTACACATAACAAAGGCATGCAAAGTCAATTTGAGACAAAACTGATTTATATCACTGATTTTATCCTTGATCTAATTAAAAGTCTCGTTGATAATATTAAGATTACACTCCACAAAAAAACTACTTGGTTGTAATAATTAACTGTTTTATCCTCATGTGCAGGCTAAAAACTGTAAATAAACCACTAGTGTAACCAAACTTCACAGACATACCTTCTATGTCTGTTAGAACAAGTGAATGACACTCAACAGGTTTCTTTTTCATAGAAATATAACCCCCATCTGCAAGAAAGTTAAATTTACCAAAGTTGGATGAGAAGAAAAAATAAGGGACATGGAAGGAGAGAATTAAAAAATCATTTCTGACCACTCCTGAATGAAACTGCACACTTTTTAATAAAAGAGGGAGGTTTTACACTATACCATACCAGGAAAACAAAATTGTGGCAAGCTGTTGATAACATCTTGAGCCAATGGCAATTCAGCTGCCTTGACCATGACTGATCCCCTACGTGCACGCCTTCCTGGATTTCCACCTTTAGTTGGGCTACACAGAATGCCCAAATTTGAATAATAAGGCTCACCTGTTGGAGAAAAACATAGTTAGTGTTTGAACTTGGGAGACACTGATTCGCTTCTCCTCAAGATCAACAAGAGTGAGGATGTTTTTCTGTGAGATATTGCAATAATGCATTTTTCACACTGAATACCATTTAGCAGTGACCACTAACAGCCATCACAGAGCCTTTGTCAAAAAGCTAATTTCTGTCAACTGAAAAATGGATATCGATGTTCTGTGATATAGGCCTAAGAAAAAAGGAAACAACTTGGCTTAAAATTAGTCTAGCCTTAAATGGTTCCACTCCTGCATGAACCAAAAACTATACTAGATACAAGTTGCTCCTGACGTCAAGCCAAGAACCCATACTATAGATCTCTAACACATCATCTCACATCAGATACATCTCTGTTGGTGTCTTTCAATGCACATTCTTTCTCTCATTTCAGTTAACAAATAAAGCCAACAGTCATTTCATGAACATTTTCCTCATTAAAATAGATGGCCACGATAGGTGTCTTGCAGATCCTAAAGAAATGTCTCCCATAAATCACCTCCTGTTTAGAAATCTCCAATATATATGTAAAGCACATGCAACAGACTGAAATAGTTTTTGTCTTTTAAGACAATTAATTGGTAGCTTACTATCAAATTCCAATGCTGTGCAACAAAAGGAAGCCACTTCTCCAGACAAAGCAGCCAGTACATGGGTTTCAAACAAAGTTTGAGAAAGAGGAGACTGTTGTTTACTGCTTTTTGGGGCTTTCTTGCTCTGTTGAAAACAGAACAACAACATCACTCAATACACATGTGTACAAATATCTTGGAAATGTTTGTCTTTTTCCTTCTAGCATTGGGGGGCTTCAGGGAAACAACATTCGTTTACAAAATAATATTTTTCTTCTTTCAGATGTTTCTGCAGCTTATTTCACTTTGCTCATGCTTTATTCCTTCCTTTTTTTTTTTTTTTTTGTTGTTGTTCATTTATTTCTCTGCTTTTCTTTCCTTTCTTTTCCTTTTTGAAAAAAATGTGATAATCAAGGTCCCTTGTTTTTACTTGTTTTATGTTAAATTACCTCAGCAGACCTGGCTGCCACAAGGCCAGTATCCTGATCCATACCCACCACTACACATATTTCAATCAGACTGTTTGGTAACTTGCTGAAATGAATATCCATTGCAAGAACTTTTTCCTGTAAAAAAAAAAAAAGAAAAATTGAAATTACCATGAACATTGCTATTTTGAAATATCTGTATGACAGATAATCTTCTACAGGGAGCTTTCAAAACACCCTTCCCAAAACAATTTTAAAACCCTTACTGACACCCCAAAAGTGACTAACGACAACCTTCTCCTTACAGTATCCCAAATGAATAACCTTTTAAGGTGATGAGAATAAAGGAAATGATCACCAGCTAAACAATTCTCCTTTCATTACAATCGGCAATGCACAGAGAACAGTATTGAGAATATGCATACTGATGCTGGGCTGAAAAGGGTTAAAGAAAGAATCGATTTAAGCTCAAATGCCATGAATTTTTGTTCTTGACTGTTATATAATTGCAGATGATATGACTCATATTTTTGATCTGTGGATAAGATAATGCATGATTTTATTTTGGATTGTCATAAATGGACTTTGTTCTAAGTCATTAAAAAAAATAAATTGAAAAATGTAGGTCTTGAAGATTGTACCAATCTCTCTGGTGCTGATAATTCCTGTCTCTTATTCAAAAACACATTTAACAGTTTATTAAATACTGGTAGATGTAAATAAAATTCAACAGGTGATCAAACAAATACACAGCTGTAAAATAAATGGGACTTTCAGAAGCCAATTTAAGTTAAAGAGAGTATAGATAAGGGCAGAATGGCAAATTGAGTCATTCTTCAACCAATGAGAAGCCATGCTTAATGTAGGTACACAAGTTATAATCCCTTTAAAACCCTATAACTCCCATAAGTGACCAAAATAGAATTTCTCCATACAATATCAATACAAGATCAAGAAGACATGTAATGAGAATAAAGAAAAATATCATTTAAGAGATTATCAGTTGATCTGATACTAAATTCTCCAAACTACCATCATAAGAATTGAATGGCAGACAGAAAGGAGAATTAATAAAATGAGATCTTGGGAGTTAAAAGGGTTGATAATCATTCATAAGAAAGTGATCAAAACTACAAATTGTTTTTTTTTAATAACAAAAACATCATATTTTAATGTCTGACTAGAATCAATGTAAACTGCCATAAGGTTTTCAAATAAGGTAGATGTAATTATTAATGAAAAGGTTGATAAAATGAAACTTATTATAAGCAGTGGTAGTAAATAAAATAGAGATTAGTTGTTCACTGGTTATGTCCATGAGCAACCTTCTGCTGGATGGGCCAAGGCACATAAAAATTATGTCCACATTGTGAATTGAATTTAATCAAACACCATTAGCTCAACATTTATACTCTTTTGGTAACATGATACTCTTGGTGAACAATGTTAATCATTTATCTAAGTATTGCATGCTCCAGTTCATTTTTTTTTTTGGTTTTGTCTGTTTCAGAATAAAAGCAGGGGAAGATAAAAATCAGTTTTCTTACATAGCTAGATTTAAACAATAACATACATTCGAAACACTTTTGTGAGAACTTTGTCTTACATAGTCAAACATCACAAACCCGCTAGAACATGTTCATCAAACTTATCATCTACCGATATTAAAGAGTGCCAAGAAAGATTCCCATTGCAGATTTGGGAGACATCTGGGTAAAATTTCCGCACAGCCCCATACTTCATTATGCATTCAGTTCTTGAATAGAGAAAACAATGACTATAACAATACATTGCCATTGGGAAAACAGATTTGTTTTACAATAGCATGGGGCTGTGCGGAAATTTTACCGACATCTGATTTCATTTAAAAAGAAACTAATCTATATACTTTCGAGACTGACTTCTTGTTCTGCAGCTCTGAATCGTGTGACCGGAAGGCTACAAGGAAATGCACCCAACTTAGCAGTGTTGGCCCGGTATAGTCACACAATAAAAAGGAGCGATTAGACTATTAGTTGCAAGCCCCTGCAACAATGCAAACAAAACAGATTCAAGAGTCTTGTTCTTGAATTTGCTAGAGAATTGTACGACGAACCGAGAATGGAAGGCTCACAAAATGTATGATGTACAGAAGCTCTAAATTTAATCTAAGTTTGTGTACCGTGTTCCTCACACTAAAAACTGAAAGATTTTGTTTTTACTTACCTAGATCGAGAAAAACGCTGACTATTTTGCAGTTCTTTACTCTGGAATTTCCATCTTTTCTATGCAAACATTGGGAGGCAACTGAAACACTTGAGTAATAAACAGCTCCTTAAAACTGACCTGTTGACTTGATCAATTTCTTGGAACGGAAGTCGCCATTACACGAGAGACCTTTAAGTTACGTCATGTAACACTACCTAGTTTATCGCCAGCGCGTGACGCAAGTATATCACTGAGTTCGCGAAGTTTCCGCGAATTCGTTATTCAAAGTGTGATATCTCTGTGGCTGAATCTTCGGAGGAAATCGAGGATACGAAGTAAAGTAGCTAAATTAACAGGCCATTTAATTTCAATTTCGCAAAGGGGTATAAATTTCAATTTGGGATCGGGTGAGTAATGGATTGTCTCTCATCGGAGTGCCGACTAACGGGCTTGTTATGCTTGACTTCCGCATAACATTACCAAGAAATTCAACGAAGTCCGATCGACAAGTTCACTTGAAAAAGGAAAATGTCCAAGATTTCGAAGGTTGAGATACAGAAAGAAAAAAAAAGACGAAATGTCTTTCCAGACCCTCTCAGTTTTCGGACAATGTGTGATAGTTAGAAGCTAGCCTGAGTATCAGGCTTTCCGACGAAAGCGGGAGGAAGGCCTTTTCTCTTTCTACCTCTTTCCCAACGTCCAACCCCTTGGAAAGCCTGATATTCGGGCCAGTTACAACCGACAATGAGACCGTGAGCCCCAAAAAATGAATCTTTTTTAAGATTCTATTAGTTGCAAAATTATTTCAAAAGAGTTTTCTACATTCCTCATCACTTCCACGAAAAATCGGAAATGCATGCACTTTGACCGGTATGAACAGTGTGACCTCAGGTCATTTATTAAGTGGTCAATCACGGATCTGACAGCCAGCGTGACTAGCATACAAATAGGTGTCAGCCAGCTTTACTGTCTAACGTAAAATGGGGAAAAGTTAACAATCAAGCGTGACGTATGAAAGATTTTCATCGTCAACCGTCGATGAAGCCAGTCCACAGACACCCATAAACTTTTAGTCTCTCCCATATTTCATGGTTAGGATTTAAATTGAGTCGAGGTGTACTACTTTCAAGCGATCGATTTGAATATTCACAAATACATAAAATAACGTAGAGGCTCTTTTATTTGCGTTTGTGGTTAAAGAAAGAATCTGTCCTCTTTCTGATAGCACTTCGTCACTGCTCGCCAAACAGTATGACAAAAAGACATTACAACATAGCTAGCAGCGCCGCGCAATCAAATTCAGTATACGTAAGCGTGCTAAAAATCCCGATAGTGCACGCTGATAGCGTGTGCAAATCGCTTCGCCAGAAATTTTTTTTTTTCGCGCGAGCGGCCATTGTTAGCGCGGGGAAAAATGATATATTTCGCGACAACATGATGGATACAAACAGACCCGGCTTGCCAGTCCCAAAACGAAGACAATTTTCCGACCTTTTCCCTTGGGTTCTTAAATGAGGCGAAAAAGAGAAAAACAACGGAAGAGGAGACTCGGCATCAGCGCTGTCACGATTCGCTTCTCTGTCACTTCTGATATTGTTGTCCGTTTCCTACTTTTGGCTGTGCACTATCGAGTTATGGAGCACGTGGGAAGTTTGGAGCCAATTGAACCAATTAAGTAGTAAGCTGCATATGTAAAATATTACTGGAACATACTTTTTTGTAATATGCAGTTGCTTTTGTTACATTGTTTTTAGATTTTTTTTTCCAGTTTCCGGGAAATTCATAGCAAGGGAGGAAATGTCTGAGGCGCAAGTATACCCTAAGAAATACACTCTAACTAGCGCTACACCCTGACTCATCATCGGAATGACCAAGTCCGTTCTAGCTCAGTTCTTAGTACACGCTCTTGAACGTCCTATCGGCTTACGTGACAACAAATTTTTGCAAGGAAACACGTTTTTAGAACGCTAACCCAACCTTCCTGTTGAGTACTCTAAGCAAGGTCAAGGACAAACCCAAACTGGACTAGCGATGACGATTATCGCACGAGAATTCAGCCCTATTACAACGGTCAAGGACACATCACTCGAAAGGTATAAATAAATGTGCGTCCTTGCAGCTCATGACAAATCAATGCTCACAAGACTCGAAGGAGGATTTCAACATAATCTAAGAGGCCTAAACAATTCCCAAACACTAAGCCAGCACATTTCTAATTTAGTATTTCCCAAACACGTTTAATTTTAGTTCTTCATAACACTTAATCCGTTTGTCCCCTGCAGACATCATACCCATGCAACTACAATGGGAAGTGACTCACCCATCCCTGATCCCCTCTAGAGGTCGGGTACCTGAAGTGGTCTCAAAGCGCAAAAAATTGATAAATACAAAACGCGAAAAAAAACCAACATTTTAGTATCTAATATTCTTCAATTGTTCTTCATCATTGGACCGGAGATGCCATTTGTATTTACGGATAAGAGCATTTGTCTCTCAACAAAATGGGAAGGACTAATTTCTCGTGCTATTTGTCCAGACTAATGTGTTAAAAAGGGATCCGACAAAATTCACGTTTTTATTTGATTCTGCGACAACTAAAAAAGAAAAGCAACAACACAAGTATATTTAGAGCTTTATACGCCCAATGAGTACGTTACCCTTATCTACAGCTTACTGAAAAATATACAGTATGATAAATGAAGCGCTCTCGGGTGAACAAGCGATCCTCTCGATTAATTATTCATCGATATTAATCAAACAAAAACGAAAACAAGAAAAACAGACCGAAAGGCAGAAATCCAGTCCAGAAACTTTGTAATTTCGTCCTCAGTCAAAGGAAAGAAAAGAAACATGGATTTATGACCTTAAGGAACTCGAAACAACGATTCCAGCAACAGTTGGTGAAACAGAGTTTCTTCCCCACACCGTTTGACGATAAATTTCACTTCTTCCTTCCTCTTTCACTCTCGTCGCACATGAATCAAACCAAATCTTCATCACAACATCACGCCGAATTGAGCTCAGTAACTGTCACCTCTTTCTTCTTGCTTAAACAAAAATTCAATTGTGTCAGGCGATAGTGGGTAAATACCAAACAATGGCCGAACCTTTCTGACGTTCTCAATTACGAACTTCTTGTCTTCTTCGGAACAGTTTACTTCTTCCAGGACGAGTTGAAATACCTTCGGAAAACGCACAATATGACTCACAATAGAGGTAATCCCATGGCCGAGCCGATTTTTTGATAAAATCAGTTTGTGTAATTCTGGAAAGTTGACGCCACTGAGGAGATTACCGACATCTCTTTCATCAAGCTCTAGATTGACAAGCCGAAGTTCATCCATTCGGGGGAAGAACTGGAAGCTATTTCGGAGAAAGCTGAGACCATTCTTGAAGACACGAAAACAGCTGAGCTCAAGTACTCTTAAAGGAATTACTCGCGAAAATCCCCCAAATAAAGCTTGCATCCCTCTCAATCCTAACTCGTTCATCTTTCCCTCTATTACAAGAACCTGCAGAGCTGACATCCTACGCACAGAGCCACCAAGAACAATGGCGGTATTTTCGACCAAATCCACCTTATTCAATTGAAGTATTTTGACCGTCGGGTGCGTGATAACGTCGACCAACTCATTGACAAGGATCTCAGAGCAATCTTTCAGGTTGAGGTGTAGAACCGAGAGGTTGTTGAAATTTGGTAATAAGTTTGAGAGTCGTTTCATTCCAGCTGACGTACAGGTATCCAAGGAGCGACTGGACAATTGAAGTGAACAGTCCTTTAACTTCTTGACAGGCTCTAGAAAATCACAAAATTCACCACCTTTTGCAAGTTCTAGTTTTACAGAATTAAAATACTTTGATTTCCCAGCAATGACACCAAGTGTACTGAGGATCTCACTGATTGAAGTAGAGACACATTCCAAGGATTGAAGGTGCTTGAGCAAATGCTCGTCCGACGAAGGGTTCTGCGGGTTAAGAAGAGATCTGGCTTCACATGGTCCTTTAAAGGGAAATTCAAGCGGTACTAAATGCTCAAGTCGAAGACCTTTTTGCAATTCGTGGTTTTGATTGATGAAACTGACATCCTTGGCAATATATTCGAGAAAAGGGTGGCCGTCAGTAGTATGTCCTGTAAACATAAGTTCATGAAGCAGACAAGCCAAACGAAGGTCAGTAATGTAAAACGAGAGACTTCCTTTATTTGACAAAAGGACTGCACTAAAATTGCACATGCAGCGAACACCACAGTTCAAGAAGTTCCTGTAAAAGTCCCCCAGTTGGAGGGCCTGAGAACATTCTGTTACCTTTACTACCAAGTCGAAACCATCAAAGAACTTCCTCAAATTCTCTTCGAGGGAGAACGAAAGGTCATGTTTAAGCATCTTGAAAATAACAGTTGCTTGATCCATTTCAATAATATCATCCTTGCACTCTAAAAGGTTCTTCACAAGTCTTTGGGAGAGTAACATCACTCCATCTGTGCTTGAGAGGCAATGTCGTAAAAGCCCTTCTTTCAATTGTGCTTCATCAAATGACGCAAACACCAAGTCGTGAAATCTTTGTTGACGGTAAGTGAGATCATAGCATGTTTTTTCTCTTTGGCCCGGCAAAACGACTGTCTGCATAAACCGAAGGTTCCTGTCTTCCCGGTTGACCTTTGTTAAGTGTCGTAAAACCAACTCGGCTCCGGCTCTGGCTCCAGCTCCACCTCCATCATGAGACAATCCACTGATAAAAAGAAAGACATTTTCAAGACGAAGACAGCTCTCGCTGTCCCTAGCTTGCTCTTGCAGTCGTCCAAGATTACGTTCAGGGACCAATTTGTGCACAACGAACCAGGCAGCTAAAAATTCTTGAATTGTTTTGTGAATGAAGGACACTCTTTTGGAAGGCCGAATGTTCTCGGTATCCTCGGTGATTTGCAGGAAACCGTTAATGATGCCTTCGCAGCCCTTTATTTGCTTCACTTTGCCATACTCAAAAATAAGATCATCAGACAACAGACCTTCCAAAGCTACCTCACCAAGATCAGCAAGGATGTCCTTACTACCCTCAACAGTTCTGGGCTGGTCCAAAGCACCCTTTCCATAACCATAGTCCAAAACGTACTGGATAATCTCCAAGAATACCATCGTCCGATTCTTTGTTGTTAACTTTTCTCTCATCTTCTTTTCAGTATTCTTCCATAGAATACTGAAAAACAGGCACAGTAGGGGGATTTTCGCAATATCAATCAACCTTTGTTTCTCAAGGTGATGTAGTAGCGCCTCTGCCTCTTTTTCTCCGAGTTGTTTGTTTAAGTATCGTTTGATGTCTTCCAAACTAAACCCAGTAACCTCAGCCTGTACATCAGCGAATTCACGAAGGTCATCCCCTTGGGAGGACCGCGTCGTCACCAGAACACAACAATCTCGAAATTTTCGTCCCATGAAGATCTTAAGAACGTCGGAATCTTTCCGCACGCCATATTCATCATAGCCATCAAAGACAAACAAGACCTCTTCCTGATTCTCAGTAATGTAGTGAAGCAAATCAGGTATAACGTCTTCCTCTTCCTCTGGAAGAAGGTCAGAAGAGCGAATTACTTCTTCTAGCGTCTTACAGTGAGAAACTTCCCGGAGCTTGATCAACAGAACCAGTTTGAATTTCTTTAAAGGATTTGTTTCCTTGATACACTCAATCCAATCAAGAGAGAGCTTCGTCACAAAAGTAGACTTTCCAATTCCAGCCTGGCCATCGACAAGTATCCTCTTCGTTTCACGACCGTTCTTCAATTCATTAAATAGCTGCCAAGAAGTTGCAGGAACAGAGTGCTTCCCCTCGCATCCCACTTCGCACCCCGCATTGCATTCCCCTTTGACCATGGACAGACGTGTGTATACCTCGTCAATACACACTTTGTCTTTCTTCGACCACACAGATGTCTGCACCTTTGCTGTCCTTCTATAATGATTTACAAGTTTGGTGCGAAAAGATTCCAAATCAAACTGCTTCTTTGGAGGAGATGCTAAGCGAAAAAAAAAAGAATTGACCTCCATCAATGAAGTGTACAACTAGGGAAATATTTCGCGGAATACAATTTGAAATCAAAAGCGTATTAGATGCCTCTGAAGAAAAGTATAAACACAAACTTAATATCAACCTCACCACGCCACACAACGATGCGATGAAAAAGTAAGAGAACTACGCTAACCTTTCCGAAGAATGTTCTATTCCTAAATTAATAATATACATGGAAAAATTACTTAGTTCTGATTGGTTAAGATAAATGCAGTTTTCAGGTAATTCAGTGCAGAAGAGAGTTAATTCAGTGCAGACGAGGGTTAATTCAGTGCAAAGAAAGAAACAAATCAGACAGTCTGATTGGTCAATAATCAAAGAAACTCATAGATAGCCAATCAAATACGAGCCTTGGATGTCGCAACAAAATTTGAAAATTTGAAAATTTGCGAGCGAAACAATGGCCGGCGTTTTAAGTAGGTTTTCTTTCGCCACCGCAGCTGAAAAACAGCTTAAACAATGAAAACACTGTAAAAGGCGCTGCCTTTTGGTTGTCGGTTTGGAAAAAGTGGTGTTTAGAGAGAGGAATTGCCGAGGAAATTGAAAATTACGAGCCGACCCGGCTTAACACTTTGCTCGAGTGATCCAACGCCGAAATTAAAAACAAACATGGTTAAACCTCGGAAACGACGATTCCATTTCATTAAAAGTGATTCGGACACAGACTGAACAATTCCTTGAACTTTTTAGCCGGACTTTGAACTTTTTTGCACCTTAAAGATGCGAAGATATCATTGCATATTATTGTTTTGATCGTACACAGTTGTTTTGACCGATCGTACGGTTTGAATAAATTATTTTTTGCACTTGATGCGCGCGCTTTGCTTATGTTTAATTATGATAGACCATCTCGTAGTTTTCCATGTATATTATTAACAGGTAATCACATGATTTTTCTCGTGCAATTTGGAACAAACAAGCACTTGCTAATTTTTTCAAAGAACACAATAGTCTTTGAAAAAATTTACTCGTGCTTATTTATTCCAAATTGCACTCGAAATCATGTGATTACCTATACTAATTGATCAATCAATTAAGCTACAACTACTCGCCAGTGTGTATGAACACAGAAATTGGCCGAATCGAGAAATGTGCAGGGTACTTATATCAAGTCTGTTGCAAGTTGCAGCAACGAAGGGAAACTTATGAACAAGATAAAAGCTCAGGAAAGTAAGGAGGATGACTCCCTCGAACAAACTTGCTTTTAATAAACGAAAGAGCCCTGGTAAATAGCAGTGAGACCCATCAACAAGCATGACGTAAAAAGGGCTTTATACCATAATTTTAAATCTGGTAACTGAACTACCCTCATAAAATCATTCTCACACCAGATCAAGATGCATTGTATTAAGCTCCTACGCCTATCCACATCAGTGTTTTAATCTTAATAATGTACATGAAAAACATGCGTTTCTGATTGGCTTTCTCGTGTAACACGAGTGCAAATTACAAATAGCACGCACACGTTTTCAAAATTTCGTCTGTCTTAACTCTTTATAATGCTTTTTCATATACATCATGAACAAGTAATTTAAGAATTTGTTCATGCTTAGCGTGCGTATATCGAGTTATGGATGCACGCGAGAAGTTTGGAGAGCACGAAAAATGCGTAAGAGTAGCTGGTAGCTAAAAGCATGAGCAAATTCTTTTATAACAGAGCGACAACAAGGATCTGCACGAAGAAGCCTTTTACTGTGCCGGATAGTGCAAAATTCTCACAACGCACAACGGCTGGTCAAAAACACGTCACATTTTATACTTTGGTTTGAGCGAGACTATTTGATCCAGTTAACCGAAAAGCTCAAAATTTAAGGGGAAAATGGAGAAAATCAGAGCCAAATGAACTCAAGTGTCACTAATAAATTCTTTAAAAGTCGAAGAGCCGGGTTTTGATTGTTCAAAATAATGTTTACGCTGCCGTGTACGGTGCAGTTGGAAAAGACAGACTGCAGGAAACTTGCAAAAAAATGCTCACGTCATCTTATTTACGCACGGGCGTGCGTTAATAAAGATTTTGTTCATAGCGGCTCAATAGGACTTAAATAGGGCAAGCATGCGCGCTATGTTATAAAACATGATTTCTCTTGCAATTTGGTGTAATAAACAAATTTTTTCAAAGACTACAAATTGCACTTGCCCTACGGGCAATTTTGTTGCCTTTGAAAAATTTACTCGTGCTTGTTAACACCAAATTGCACTCGAAATCATGTTATTTCTTATACATACATAGCGATAATACATGAAAAAAATCACAAGTCGTATATGCCTGAGCAAGAGTTTGCCTTATCGTAGCCTAGAAAAGTCAGTCTATTTAAAGGTCAAAAACAAATGTTAGCTATATTCTTCAGATCTCTATACACAACTTCGACTAAAAGTACATGATTAAAATACCAGATCAGATCAATATCAGAGGGCAGAACCCACAAAGCGAATTAAAGAATACCTGCTATAAAGTTCTTGATCACTTCCGCTAAGTAATTGTAGTTCTCCTTCATTTTCTCGGCATTTTCGGCCTGAATAGCTTCCACCTTATCAATCCTCTGGCCTTGGTTTTCTACCGTGGCTTCTAATGTTTGCTGCTTGTCTCCGATGGAGGCAACAGTTGATTGAAGCTCCTCCAATTCTTTACGGAAATATGCCTGCGTTTGTTGCACCAATTTCAAAAGTTCTTGATCAACGACATGTCCCATGACTACCTCACAGCCTTAACGACAAAATGGAGAAATAATTTTATGTAATTAATGATCAGGATACTTTTAAGGGATCAAGCTTCCATCACAAAGACTACCCCCAAGGGAAGAATACTCTAGAGGAGGGACCCAAAGAGCCTTATTTTCACAGATGCTGAGTACACCATCCAGAATGAAGGGCATGAGTGAGCCGTGAGCAGAAACCTTTGCAAAAAGATCAATTTTGATCAAAGATCAAACAAATATCAAACAAATTAAAGAATCTCAGTCTCCCCTCTCTAAAAGAATACTCAACTGTATGGAAAACGCCAAAAGTGCACTGAAATCACCTATTAACATCATAAAACTGAAGCATGACAACCACCCTCAACAGCTACTCATCCTATTCTTATGGTAGATGGGTAATTGCATTGCAATTTCACCTTTTGTTTGCCAATGATGCAGCTGATCTAGTATTTTCTGCTCTTTTGCACCAATGTCAACACTCTTCACTAAATCCTCAAATTTGGCAAAGCAGTCTTTGAAGAAAGCTTCAGTCCAGTCATTAAGATTAGGATGGGCCCACTTGTTTCTGACATTATCTCTTACAGCATCTGCTGCTGTATGAATAAGGAGCATTGGGTCTGGTGAGGGAAAGATGGGTTTTGGATTGTTATATCCAAGCAGACGGAGAATGGCACACAAGTCAAGAGATTCATCAAATGCTGAGAATGTTGCAAGGTAATGAGGAAGATACAATTTTGCCAGGTCCAGTTCAGATAAAACATTGAAGTTGTATTTCTTCTTGTCTTTCTTCTTGTCTTTCTTAGGTATTTGACTGTTGTTGTTGATGTTTTCAAACTTCAAGTTTTCGAGGCTGGGTTTACTCCGAAAGTCAGCATAGGTCAGTGCATTAAGCTTACAGGGATGTAAGGATGTGTCAAAGTATTTGTAATGTGCAGTTATTCCTTGGTTAACAACATCTCGCAGCACTGGGGCAATCACTTTGATCATAGCAATTCCAACCACCATCCAACGTTTCTGTTCATCAGTTGTCATTTCCATTTTTTTGGCACTAAAACTTAACTGAAAACAACTGAAAAAAGACAAATTAAAGTGCAAAATAACTATCATTCATTCTAAAGAATATTGTAAAAATCATTATATTTACTGCACAAGGCACTTCCATCCTAAGATTTAAGCTTTGCCGGGGTGCAGGGGAAAAGCAACAATAATCTTGCAGAAATCATCCTACATTGGAAACTTGGAGTGAATCCATACAAAGATCAAGATTTAGCAAAGTTATTTCAATTGAATATTTTTGCATGATTTCAAACTTCAGTTAGGCACCAGGGTAACTGAAGGAAATCTAGCCATTTAAGTAGATAATTAAATAAATAGAATAAGAGATGAGATATTAATCAGAGCATAGAAATAAAACTATTTACAATTAAAAATAAAGTCATCAATGAATGGAAACGTTGACAAGAAAGAATGACTCAAGGATAGTGAGCAGTCTAAAGGACTGAACCATCTATAAGTATTGGGGTTGGTTATTTAAACCAAATTGCAGTTTTACACATCAGGTAGTCGGCCTCAGGGATTCTCTTTAATGGGGTTGATTTCATTCAATAAAATGTCTTTCCACTATTAGCTTTCAGCCCTTTTTCACAAAAATGAATCTATAGATAAAAGGTTCAGTTAAACTGAAGATAGTTTAGAGCATGGTTTTTAATTAAAAGGCTAAACTTTGTATTGACGACCTTTCCTTAAAGTCTAAAAAGAATTTCCAGCCCTGAGAAAAGCTCTGCCTACATAGGGTAAAATTACGGTATTTTAAGTGTGTTTGATACAGCCAATCAGCTGCTGATACCTCACTCCCCTTTCACGTGATTCTGTCGTGTTGGTTGATGCACGCGAGAAGTTTGGAGAGCGCGAAAAATGCCTAAGAGTAGCTGGTAGCTAAAAGCATGAGCAAATTCTTCTATAAAAGAGCGACAACAAGGATCTGCATGAAGAAGCCTTTTATTGTGCCGGAATGAATGGTAAAGCGTTCGCCCTTCTTAATCCAAAGGTCGTTTCTCGAAGTTCATTAATAAATTCATGTCAGTAAAGCAAAAGCCCATGGTGTTTATACGATAAACAAAATAATAAATGGTAGCTTGTTGATACGTAATTTCTTCTCTCTTGTTTAACACAATTTATAATAAAGCTCGGATATAACACGTACTGTCATTGGTTGAAAGAGTGTGCTCTATGGGAGTATACAGCATAGAACTGAGCTAAAGCTGTCACGCCATCTGCCAAATCGTACTATGTCCG